GATACGCATTCACGTGCAAAAAAAATATATATATACATATATATATATATATATATATATATATATATATATATATATACATACATACACACACACACACACACACACACACACACACACACACACACACACATATAATATATATATATATATATATATATATATATATATATATATATATATACGTACATACATATATCTATACATACACACACGCGCGCGCACGTGGGTGTTTGTGCTTATCCATGAGTTTCTTCGACCATTATTACTATAATGATAACCACTAATCATAATCATCACATCACAAATGATGGTGACGATAGTGATAACCTCATCAGTTATGGTAAGATTGATAATGAAGATAATGATAATGCTTCTGCATTTGGTGACAAAGATGCTATTAAGAAGCACGTGTGAATATCAATAAAGTGATAATGATAGAGATAAAGGTGCCGTCACATTAGCAATTTTTTTTTTTCTGAAATTTTGTCCATTTTTGAGCGAATTGTCGATTCTCCAGTCAGACGATAATGATTGTTTCCGTTTGAAAACCTTTCTATTAACTTTTTCAGCCAAGTATAGTCAGATCAAGAGCTATAGTAGAAAATGCTTGTATTTATGTTAAATAAAATTGTCAAAAAATTTACGGAAAAAGTGGTAGTTGGTTTGGTATTGAATGATTTCTACTGGAGTGATAGTAGGAATTTAGTAGTGAAGATTATGATAATAAATTGGATTTTAAAATTGTATGTTGATACTTTTGCTGCCGAGTCTATTTAATTTTCCTTGAATTTGGCATTAACTCGTGCTTGTTATCTTTCGAAGTATGCATCTTTTCAATTTTTTTATAATTCCCCAAAATATATGAAAATAAAGAACTTTAAGTTAGCATAATTTCATTTTAGATGTTCCATATTATCATATTATCATTTACCATTATTTTTCTCAAAAAATGAAGTTATCGGAAGATGTTCTACCTCTAACCGGATGTAAACACTGATAGGCGGAGTCTGAAAGGCGGTGCCACCTCCCTCTTGTTTTACATCTGTCCACTCACAATGCCGGTGACTATCAATACCTGCTTTTCATTTTCATGATTTAAATGGTATATTGTGGGTTATTCAGGAGAGTATACATGTATTTGGAAAAGACATTATAGTGGAAACACTGTAAACTGCACTTGTCAAGTAGTTCAACGCAGAGCAGTGATGAGTCATTAGATACTGTCGATTTTTGCTATATACTATTTATGTTCAAAAATATGTGATAGTTTCATATATCCTCATGTACCAAGTTACCGTTGTCTAATCTATTTTAAGAAGCTTGGACCCCTCTAAATTCTTTTCTATTATCCTATTATACTTATCTCTTGAAACTTACTGTAATCTATGAAGGGAGGCCTGTTATCTCAAAGCCAATAAACTTTCCCTATGTATATTTTAGCAAGATATAGCAAAGGGTTGGTTTGTTCTTTGATCATAAATTGCCAGTTTTTTCCAATCCAGTAGCATATATGTACCAGACTGTAAAGTTTCATCTGCAAGGGGAATGAGTGCCCCGCTCAAAGATTATTTGGTCAAATTCTGTCCATGCAAAATGTAGTTCACTGATAACTTTCCGCGCATGCTTAATTCTTTTTTTTAATCATCTTCCACACATAAAATTCTTTTGATTTTTCTGGGCACTTGCTTGATCATCAGTCTGTAGATCCGTCCGCGCAAATGTAGACAGAATGATGTTTTCCGCACATGCAAGAATGTAATATTCCCCGTGCAAGAAAAATACTCTACAGTCTGGTATATGTATATACAGAATGTCTGAGGTAAGATGGTAAAATTCAAAAACACTTTTAGAAAGAAAGGGAATAAATACAGTTGTTGATATCTGAAATAATCTGCATAGGTAGTGTAGAATGTCAGAAATTTAGGTAATAAGTCAGAGACTAAGTCCACAATAACTGAGTAGGGAAAGTACAGCGATTGGGGAGGCTTTTGGTTCATACAGTGATGATTGTGGATTCCCAGGATTGCCCACAAATTTGTTGGTTCAAGTAATAGGGACTTACAAAAGTGTTAATTCACTTCATAAACAAATATTGCACGAATATATGTGGTAGGTTTTTTGCCTTTGCATGATCACCAAAGTCACAAAGGACAGTGATGAATACACAGGTTTCTTTTAACATTTAACATTCAATTGATGTAATTTTAAGGTTTTGATTCACCAAAATGTGGATTTTTTTTTCTTTTTTTTATTTTACAACTCTAGTCAGAAGAACTTGAAAGTATGCTTCTGTCATCCAAGCTGTATTTTTCTCTTTCTCTCCCTTACAATGTCCATTTTATTAAGGAGTCAAGGTACTTGAAATGAAGACTACATAGGAATAGAACACAAAGGTATATTTTAAAAGACAAAGAAAATAAGATTACAAGCTAAGGAAAACTCAGTAATTCTTGACAGTATAGATGCACTCACCAGAAACTAAGTCCCTAACTTTATGTCACAAAATTTATTTAACACTCTAAGTTACTGTGACTGGGTGTGCCCTTCAGGTACTGCCTGAGGGGAGATTTGATGGGGGGACTCCATCCCCAATACCCCCCCCCCCTTACAAATATCTTTACCTGGCAGTGGGTGGGATTTGGGGTCGGAATGGTCAAAAAGGAATTATGGTCAGTTTCATTTTCATATATGAGTGTAGAATTATCCATGTGAATATAAACTCCAGCAATAAAAAATTTAGGCAACACAAGTTCAGAACCTCAAGTCTCATTGCCACTGTGTCAGGGATTTTCACCTTTCCACACTCTTGCTTTACAGGAGCGAGAGTGATGCATTGTATAATGACATTACCTATTGAATTGGAACACAGGAAGATAAAAGTGTCTTATTATAAACGTTTATTCCCAAAGTGAAAGATTTATGATATGAAAAATAAAGAAAAAATCATTACACGACTTTTGAAATTTCTTTCCCATAAAACAAAGTAGGTATGATTCGATTTTAACATATTCATCATAAAAAGTATGCTCGCCTGCATCAATGGCCATCTCTGAGGGACCCACGCTGCAGAGTTCCAAGCGTCGCCACCACTTGCAATAATTATACATATGCGCTTTCATTTGAAACTAAATGATTGATTAAACATCATTGCCTCATTATAAAAACATTTTATGAAAGATATGAATATAAAGAAAGTGTATGAAGTAATTTATTTGTGTAAACTTCTAAGATAGACCTACAAATATCTGATACCTATTGTCACATCAAAAGATTAAGCGTCCACGATAAATTAATATAAGCAATTTGTATTTCAAAATATTTTTGATATATCAACAGTTATATAAGAAATAATTCATTGTCCTTCCATTACAAGTATTCCGCTAGTGACAACATTTATCGCTTCTTTCAGGGCAGAATCATATGGTTAGACAATGGGGAAGAAGAGTAGACTGGCAGAAAAAGAAAATAGATAAATAAGAAATCATTAGGATCTAACTGGTATATGCGCATATACACATATACATGTGCAAGTACATGTAACTTTGCAATAATTTATGAGTTTTTACACATGTAAACGAATGTATACACAAGAAAGCATTAATTAAAGAGGTATAAAATCTAAAACAACCAATTTTATAGAACGTTCATATTGTCTTGAGTCTGGATTTGCCCCTTTTCACAGGAGTCCTATGTTTATTTATTTCTCCCTCCCAAAACCTAGCTCGTTGTCGTGGTGATGCAAGGATGAAAGGCTGGCTTTGTGTCAGTCATGAACGGCCTCCGGGAGCCATGGACACAGTATTCCCTTGGTTAATTATTTAGTCCTTATCCATTATGGGGGCCTTAAGGGGTAGACTGTTTCTTTTCCCCAGTTTATTTAGGCTCACCATGGCCAGTAAAGAAGATTCTTTACCCTTAATAGAGTCATTAAGGCTTGCCCCTTCATCAAATAGCCTATCTGAATTTGATTTTGATGGTTTTGACCATGGCTCCAACCACTGATGCTAATACCCCTCTTTGATGCTTACAAACAACTCTAACAATTCTGAAACACCCACCCAGGTTATTACTCAACCCCTAGAAAACACCACTTCCTCATCCCCTGCTGTACAATCCTCTTCAATGCCAATCCCCTCATCCCTCATTACTACTCTTCATCCGGATTTATGAATGGAGGAGGGAGGGAGGCGAGGCACTGGTAATCAATACTTTTTTGTCTGTAAATATTACCATTGTATGGAAACCATTAACTGAAAAATTAAACATATTAAGAAATGACTACCAATTAGCATGAGTAGACGAAGCAGCAGTTGACAGGTAATGGTATTCTCATCTACGTCAAACAGTAATAGGCCCTAGAGTGGTTGTGGCGGTTCATGCGAGATTGTTGTAAACTCTGTTTGCCTCATGAGTGAAATGGATGAAACAGGACAAGAGTGGGAGTTCATTGACACCCTCGTATTTTTCTCGATCTCGATTCAAACATGTTTGAAGCAATGTAAAGAGGCTGTTCGTGACTGACACAACCCAACTCTGGCCTCCCTCCCTCCTCCATTCATGAATCTGCCCCTTTACTACACAGCGTTTGCAGCACCATCTATGGGCAATAAACAAGACACGCAGAACCATTCAGAGGGTTTTAGTCCCAGACTGTACCAGGCAACCTAAACGTTCCACTCCACGCTCTCCTACTACATTCTCTCCTACACCTTCCTCTTCATCTGTTCCTCAGATATCCATCACCTCTTCTCCTCCTTATAAGAGAACCTTTGTGTCTCAGTCCTCAATACCAAATTCCCCTTCAGAAACCCTGGAAGACATCCAAAATTTCATAAAGATGTCCCAAGGGAACACTCCATTCCCTCATCCACCCCTCAATCCCTCTGATCCTACTCCTGCTACATTTAAAGTATTTGCAGATATTCATCCTCCTCCTTCTCAAGTTCCCTCCACTCGCCTTCCTCCTACACCCTCTCATCATACCCTGCCCCCTCTACCACTTCCACTTGAATACTCTCACAAAACGTCTTCATCACAACAGTGTCCTTCTCCAGACTTTTTTCCTGACGCTTCACCACCTTCCCCAGTCTCCTTTTCTCAACCCCTGGATTCTTCTCCTCCTACTCCTTCCCCAGTCACAGATACATTGCAATTTACTCAGTTGCATTACCCCCTTATACCCCCCCCCCAAAAAAAAAAAAACATCCTTCCCTCCTATCCCTTCCACTCCCTCCTGGATACACACATGAATCTCTTTTATCACAATACCCTTCCCCAGACCCCACCGTCCCTATCGAACCGCCAGACACTACTCCTTCACTTAATCCTGGTCCTTTATCTCAACCTTCAGATACCTAATCCCCTACTACTAAGACAACCATATCTACTGTTATCACCTATCATCCCTATTCCTTAACCCAGACACAGATACAATGCAATTCATTTAATTGCTCTACCTGCTTAACCTTTCCCCACTTATTGATCACTACTCTATTTCATTTCCTCCCCCCCCCCTTCTCTTTTCCTTACCATACTCTCCTACAACACCCTCTAACCTTTGATATCTAACACCCTCCCCTCTTCCCAGATTCTTCTCTTACTCTTCAACAGCTATCTCTCTTCTTCCTTGAACATTTTTACTATACCTTCCCCAGTGACAGATACACTGTAATTCACTCAGTCGCCCTTGATACTAATTTCTGCTCTAATTCACTTATTCCCGTATTCCCCCTTTTCACTACCCTACTTTCCTATAACATTCTTAAACCTTTCACATCTAACTCATTTTATCGTAATCTTTAACTCTCCTTTGCCACTTCTGACACAATACTTTACCATAGTGCTACATGACCTTAGATGTCTAGCACATTTATTTTCAAACATTAATTAATTAATTATTTAGTTATTTCAATAACTCCGAGACTGATTGTCATATCTTTATGCAACAAAGTGCATTTGAAAGAGAAATGATAGCAGTTTCTACAATAATGAAATGGTAAAGATCTATAAATAAAAAAAATACAGTAAAGGAACTTCAAATATCCAACTTTTTGTTTGTATGTTTTTCAAATTTTCTTTTTTCGAAGATGAGGGATCTTCTTTCTACAGAAGATCCCTCATCCCAGAGTTCTTATACGATTGAAATATTGGATATATCTTTGGAAACATTGTGAAAATTCACAGACAACCATGTATCAGATGTTGGAAATTTTGCCGACTTTTTTGTACATTTTTTTAAAAATTAAAAAAAAAAAAAGTGATTTTTTTTTTTTCTGAGGAAACTAAATAGAATTTTTTTAAAAGCATATGTAGTTGTCTTAGGAATCCATTGATATTCATTCACATTTCTTCTTCTTCTTTGAGGAATATTTACCTGTATGACCCCCTAACCCCATTATTCCCTCTCCCCCCCCAATTAGGGATGGTCCCCTTAATATGTACAGCAAGGCTATAAGTGGTGCTTTTGCCAAGCTTTTTCCTTTATATGTGGCATAACCATTCATGTCTACAGATTATTTCTTGTACAAAATACTGCAACTGTTAATCCTCTACAAGAATATCATCTTCAATTTGCCCAAGCTTAGTGTATTCATTCTGTAAGGATGAACTAAATATTCTATTCATAATGAGGTTAAACCTGCAAGCACTTAAAAATCACTCAGTGAGTTGAGCATTCATTGTGGCCTCCATGCCTTCAGCACTCCAGCAAAGGGACAACAAGCCTCCAACATGTATGTTCTGGTAAGATGGGATTTTAGACCATCTTGGTGATTTGTTGCCAAACAACAGTTAATACTATTAGAGGATTGTTAGCCTTTGCTGGAGCTCAGGTCAGGATACTTTGTCTCAAGCAGATTTGGTTGAAGGTGCTTGAATTCTTGATGGATATTTCTGTTATTTTGATCCTGCATTTTTAATTATAGACTGCAGTATAAAAAGTAACAACTCCAAATATATTTTAAGAGAAAAAAGATGAATACATAGCCAACAGCAGATTCAGAGCTATCAAATGTAGACTACTGGAAATTTAAGTTTCATTAAGAAACTGGTATTTCAGCTTCCTTTATATCAAATATTTAATTTTTTGAATCTGTAGATGCACTCTTGTTCATTTTCTGTGAATAGGAATCTTGTTTGTAACCATAGTAAGTAAATGTTTTCTATTTTTTAGTTTTTATTTTATTTATTTATTTATCTATTTATTTTAATCAATTTCAGGCCTACCATTGCAATATGCCCCATCCAGGGGTAATTGTGGGTAACATGGCAATGCTTCCAATAAGAACCAAGTACAGAGGACCTGCTCCCCTCATGACCAGTGAAGGAATTGATGTCATTGATGAAGCCTTGCAATTTTTCAAGGCTAATGTCTTCTTTCGTACATATGAAGTTAAGGTATGTTCTCCTTAGGTATTCTTGTATTATGGTAATCTTTAGTTGTATTTTATGTTTTCTTTAAATATCTGTTTTTTTGCAAACAATTTATTTATTTACTGT